GCGCCAGAGGTGGCGGATAGGCTGGCGGAGAAACTCCGCCAGGTCCTGGACGGGCTGGCGACCGTTGCGCGCCCCGCGAAGATGGCCGATCTCCGGGTGGACGGCCTGGATGATTCGGCCACTAAGGAGAAGGTGGCGGCGGCGGTCCGCAAGGGCGGCCAACTGCCCCGTGGACTCCGTCAAAGTTGGAGAGATCCGCACGGGGCGAGGAGGAGTAGGCTCGGTTGTGGTCAGATGCCCGGCCACGGCGGCCAAGGTGGTGGTCGACTCCGGCAGGCTTCTCGTCGGCTGGAGCTCGGCCAAAGTGCAGGTCCTGGAGCAGCGCCCATTGCGCTGCTTCAGGTGCATGGGCATCGGCCACACCTGGCCTGTGTGCCCGTCCAGGGTGGAGAGGGGTCGCCTCTGCTACCGTTGCGGTGGCGAGGGGCACCAGTCCGCGGAGTGCAGCGCAAAGACGGTGCGCTGCGCCGTGTGCGCGGATGCGGGGCGCCCCTCGGGGCACATAATGGGCGGGGGCGAGTGCCACCCGCCCGTTACGAAGGGGTTGTCGGCCCAACGGACCAGGGCCGCCCCGGAGTGAGTAGCCGCCAGGCTGGGGAGGAAGCGCACATGTCCTCATAATGGTCGGACACCAGCGCTTCCTCCAGGGGAATTTGAACCACTCGGCCGGAGCGCAGGACCTTTTCCCTGCAGTCCATGGCCGAGTGGGAGATAGACCTGGCGGCGGCCTGCGAGCCCTATTTTGTCCCTCACCAGCCGAACTGGGTGGGGGACCTAGAGGGCTCCGTGGCCATAGTGTCTGGGAGCAGCACCGGCCCCCGTCTCTCGGCAATCGAGAGGGGCCAAGGACTCGTCGTGGCAGGGTGGGGAGAGTACGCCATCGTTGCGGTGTACTTCTCCCCCAACCGCAGCCTGGCGGAGTTCGAGGTTTTCCTTGACTCCGTCCGCGCTGCGGTCTGCAGGCAGTCGCCGAGGCCCACTATCGTCCTCGGCGACTTCAATGCCAAGTCCTTGGCCTGGGGGAATCCCACGTCGGACGCTCGAGGGCGAGCGGTTCAGACGTGGGCCCTACTCTCCGGTCTGTCCCTACTCAATGTGGGGACGGCGTTCACGTGCGTGCGGCAGCAGGGGGGGTCCGTGGTGGACCTAACGTTCGCCACCCCCGCCGTCGCACGCAACGTGATCAACTGGAGGGTAGAGGAGGAGGTGGAGACCCTGTCGGACCACAACTACGTCCGATTTGAGGTCTCCACCCGTCCGGTGCCGGTGGACCGCCCAAGGGGGCCCCCTCGAGCGTTCCCGAGGTGGGCCCTAGGCCAGCTAGACACAGAGCTGGCCAGGGAGGCGGCCATCGTCGAAGCGTGGAGCTCCCAGGGGAGTGTGGTGGGCGCCAGTTCCGATGTGGAGGAACTGGCTGGCCGCATTCGCGACGCCCTTACGAGGGTGTGCGATGCGGCCATGCCGCGAGTCAGGCGGTCGGACCGGCGTCGCCGGAGTGTCTATTGGTGGTCGCCCGAGATCGCACAACTTCGGGCGACCTGCAATAGACACAGGAGGGCCTATGTGAGGTGTCGCAGGAGGAATGGCCTGGACCCTGTCTTGGAGAGCGAGCTGCGGGCGACCTATCGGTCCGCAAAGAAGGCCCTGCAGCTCGCCATCAGCCAGGCCAAGGCGGCGGCCCGTCAGGAATTGCTGGCGGGCCTGGATCGGGATCCGTGGGGGCGCCCGTACATCAGCGCGCGGAACAAGCTCCGCGCGCATGGCGCCCCGGTCACGGAGACCACGCCGCCCGACGTCCTCCTGCGACTGGTGGGTGGGCTGTTCCCGGAGTCCTCCGGACACGTCCCCCCGGTGATGTGTCCTCCCTCACGCCATGAGGGAGTCGACGAGTTCCCCCCAATCACCGAGGGGGAGATGGAGATGGCCCGCGACAAACTGCGGGCCAAGAGGACGGCTCCGGGAACGGATGGTATTCCGGGGCGAGTTCTGTGCATCGCCCTGGAATACCTGGGAGGGGATCTTCGGGACCTCTTCAACGCATGTCTTCGCGTTGGACAGTTCCCGAAGATCTGGAAGGAGGGGTTGTTGTGCCTGTTGCCCAAGGAGGGTCGTCCTCTGGACTCCCCTTCGGCATACAGGCCGATCGTGATGCTGAGTGAGATGGGCAAACTCTTCGAGAGAATTCTCGTTGCCCGTCTTACTCAGCATCTCGAGGAGGTGGGGCCGGGCCTTTCAGAGGCTCAGTTCGGGTTCAGGGCGGGTCGGTCGACCGTGGACGCCCTGAACGCCCTGAAGGTTCGGTCCTTGGCCGCGGTGGAGGAGGGAGACGTGCTGCTAGCCGTCTCGTTGGACGTGGCCAACGCCTTCAACACCCTGCCGTTCGAGACGCTACGAGAGGCACTTCGGTACCATGAGGTGCCTCTCTATCTCCGGCGGGTGTTGGACGCGTACCTCCGCGACAGGCAGGTCGTGTGGACGGGGGCAGATGGGGTGGTCGGTCGGCGACGTGTCGACTGCGGGGTTCCACAAGGGGCCGTTTTGGGCCCGGTACTGTGGAACCTCGGGTATGACTGGCTCCTGCGTTGTCCGCTTCTCCCCGGGCTCGGTGTCATCGCTTATGCTGATGACACCCTCGTCACAGCCCGGGGGCGCTCTTACGAGGAAGCGGCACGCTTGGCCACAGTCGGCACCAACCTAGTCGTCGACCGTATAGGGTTGCTGGGCCTGAGGGTCTCCGTCTCCAAAACGGAGGCCCTCCTTTTTCATGGCCCACGCAGGGGTGCCCCCCGCAACGCCTGTCTGCGGGTCCAGGGTAGGATGGTGGAGGTACGGGCCCAGATGAAATATCTGGGCCTGACCCTGGACGGACGCTGGACGTTTCGTGTCCATTTCGCCCAGCTCACCCCGAGACTGATCGGCGCCGCCTCGGCCCTCGGCAGACTTCTGCCGAATGTCGGGGGCCCTGGATCTCACTGCCGGCGGCTCTATGCCGGCATCGTGAGGTCCATGGCACTGTACGGTGCCCCCGTGTGGATCGACGCCCTCTCCGCACCGAACAGGGCCCAACTGCGCAAGGCGCAACGGGTCCTGGCGGTGAGGGCGGTGCGGGGATACCGTACGGTGTCATTTACGGCGGCGACACTTCTGGCGGGCGATCCGCCCTGGGAACTCCAGGCGGAGGTGCTCGCCGAAGTGTATCAGTTTCGGGCGAGTGAGCGGGCTCGAGGGGAACGTCCAGCGCGGGAGGGAGTCGCTCGGATCAGGCGCCTAGCTGACGAGGCACTGATCCGGCGCTGGTGGGAAGACCTGGGGACTCCAGCGGCTGGCTCGGCGACGGTGGGGGCGGTTCGTCCGTTCCTGTCTCGCTGGGTCAGGCGGCCACACGGCGTCCTGACGTTCAGGTTGACGCAGATGCTTACCGGGCACGGGTGCTTTGGTAAGTATCTGTGTCAAGTTGCGCGTCGGGAACCGTTGCCCGTATGCCACGAGTGTGGTGCGTCCGAGGACACCTCGCACCACACCCTCGCGGTATGCGCCGCTTGGGCTCCCCAGCGCCATGCCCTGATGGCGGTAGTGGGTGGAGACCTGTCGTTGCGAAGCGTGGTGGGGGCCATGCTACGCGACGAGAGGTCCTGGTCGGCGATGGTCTCCTTCAGCGAGGCCGTCATCTCACTGAAGGAGACGGCGGAGAGGGAACGCGAGGCTAACGCCTTAGCAGACCCTCTTCGTCGCCGTCGGCTGGGGGAGAGGAGGCGTCGGTACGCCCATCTTCTCCCGCCACCCTAGAGGAGCTACTGCGGGGGGGTCTCTCGTTGACTCCCCTGCACGTCATCGGGGCGGTCGGAATGCCCTGTGAATCGAGGGCATTCCGGTTTAGGCGAGGCAGGCCCGCGGGGTACGGGCCGTCCGCAGGGGTGTTGTAGTGAATGCGCAAGCGATCCTACGCACCCCATTGCACTGCGGCGACGGGTTCCGCTGTGGGTTTAGTGAGTAGGAGTCTCACAGTACCCTACCCATTGACGGCCGGTAGGGTCCCCATGATGGGTTTCCCCAGCGATAACAAAAAAAAAAAAAAAAAAAAAAAAAAAAAAAAAAAAAAAAAAAAAAAAAAAAAAAAAAAAAAAAAAAAAAAAAAAAAAAAGGTTAGGTTAGGTTCTCAGGGCAGTTGCTGGACTGCTACTGGGCGCGTCCCCCGGGTGGCGGATAGGGGAATGCCACCACACTGGTGGTACCGGTCTCGACCGGCGCGGACCAAAACCAGCAGGCATGGGCGTGCCTTTAGGGGTTTGTTAACCCCACGGCCTAAGGGAGCACACCCTGACAGAAAAGCGCGAGGTGGGGCGGGTCCGGCGGGTGCTTAATTGCGCAGCCGGACAAGCACCAGGGTGCACCCCCCCCCTCAACTCGTAATCCCGGTTCCTGGTGTCGTTGATCACGTCTAGCGGCCGGGACTGGGACCGAGGGCCTTGGCTTTACCGCCCGGGCTGCGAGGAAGAAAACCTCTATAAAAAATTACCCCAATCCCAAGCGGAGAAGCAGCGCGAGGGGATGCATGGCCGATGGGATGATCGGTCCCTACTGCTTCCCCCGCCAGAGTACCGGCCGACACTCTGGGCGGGTTATTGAAGGCTTATCCGGGTGCAGGGGGCACCACACGGATGGACGGAGTATTTCCCCCATACTCGTGGGATCTAACTATGGAATCTTTAACTAATACAAAAAACCAAAACTTTGATGTGGAGCCTGTGACAGGCGGTGTGACGTATGAGCCAGTGTTTGGCGTGGTTGATTTGGCTTCGGAGGGAAGCGAATCGGATGGATGTTTTACAGACGCTTCGGTGGGGCGTAAGAGGCCCCAGAAGACTATGGCGATCTCGTCCAGCTCAGAGACTGAGACCGAAAAGACGGTCAGCGCCAGAAAGGCGAAGGCACGCAAAGGAGGAGGTAAACCAGGTACAGAAGGTACTGGTATCGCTCGTGCACGACGTGAGCTCAAGAGCATGGAGGAAGAGGCGAAAGAGGCGGAATTTGAGAGGCGCTTAAACCAGCGTACTTTTGTGAAGGCGGGCTCAAGCGCATCCAAGGTCCGTAAGGCTGGCACATCTGTGCCAACGGACTCTGAGGCGTCGGCGTCTGAGGCGCCGGCTCCGAGAGATCCGGCCGAGCTGACGGCCGATGAATTAAGGGCGCTCGCCAGCAGCAGCGTGGCAGCAGTGTACGAGGTGGCCCAGAAATCGGGCAATTTAAAGGGCACAATGGTCAAGATGCTCAAGGAGTCTGCCGCCACGCTGCAAAAGGTGGTGGAAGCCCTAGCGGGGCGCACGGTGGGCGGAGGAGGTCCACCACCTCCAGAAGGACAACGCTCGCCTTCGTCGTGAGACGGAGGCTTTGAAGGCGGAGTTGAAGGCGCACCGCAGGGAGTTCTGTGAACTCAGGAAGGAGTTGTCGGCGTCAAAGGCTGGTCCTTCTGATACCTTCGCAGGAGACTGGTTGGAGGAGCTCAGGGCGTCGATAGTCGCCTCAGTGGGGACACTTATTGACGCCCGTTTTGCCGGGATCGAAGAACGTCTTCTCCCGGCGAAGACAATGCGTCCCCCACTGGCGGCGGACAGGCGTCGTGAAGCGGCTGCGCCAGTGGCTGCCCCGAGCCCTGCCCCGAGGTCTTCCCCTCCGAGGCAAGTGCCAGCGTCGGCTGAAGCCATGGATGTCGGGGGCTTTGCAGCCCAAGGAGGTAAAAAGAAAGGGAAGGGAAAGGGAAAAGGCAAGACCACGGCGCCTGCGCGGCCACTTCCACCTGCACCAGTGGCTGCACCAGCCCCTTCTCCGCCGGTAGCTGGGCCGAGTCGCCCCGCTGACCCGGAAGGAGATACGTGGGCCACGGTGGTGAGGAAGAGTAAGGGGAAGGCGAAGAAGACAGCTCCCCCTGCTTCTGCGCCTGTGGCGGCGAAGGCTCCAAAGCCCCCCCAGGCTAAGCCCAAAGTCCCCGCACAACCGCGCACTGCCGCGGTCATTATTACGGTCCCTCAGGAGGCCGCTGCGAAGGGCGTCTCCTACGCGAGGGTCCTGGAGAGGGCCCAGCAAAGCGTGGACCTGCGGGAGCTGGGCATCACGGGGGGCCTTTCTGTGAGAGTGGCGGCGACGGGGGCTCGGCTCCTGGAACTTCCCTCCACCGCTGCGCCAGAGGTGGCGGATAGGCTGGCGGACAAACTCCGCCAGGTCCTGGACGGGCTAGCGACTGTTTCGCGCCCCGCCAAGATGGCTGATCTCCGGGTCGATGGCCTGGACGATTCGGCCACAAAGGAGAAGGTGGCTGCGGCGGTCGCAAGTGCGGCCAACTGCTCCGAGGCCTCAATTAAAGTCGGGGAGATCCGCACGGGACGTGGTGGTGTGGGGTCGGTCGTGGTCAGGTGTCCGGCCACGGCTGCCAAGGTAGTGGTTGACTCTGGCAGGCTTCTCGTCGGCTGGAGCTCGGCCAAAGTGCAAGTCCTGGAGCAGCGCCCATTGCGCTGCTTCAGGTGCATGGGCATCGGCCACACCTGGCCGGTGTGCCCGTCCGGGATTGAGAGGGGCCGCCTCTGTTACCGCTGCGGCGGCGAGGGGCACCAGTCCGCGGACTGCAGCGCAAAGACTGTGCGCTGCGCCGTGTGCGCGGATGCGGGGCGCCCCTCGGGGCACATAATGGGCGGGGGCGACTGCCGCCCGCCCGTTACGAAGGGGAAGACGGCCCGACGGACCAGGGCCGCCCCCAGTGAGAGTAGCCGCCAGGCTGGGGAGGAAGCGCACATGTCCTCATAATGTTCGGACACCAGCACTTCCTCCAAGCGAATGTGAACCACTCGGCCGGAGCGCAGGACCTTTTGCTGCAGTCCGTGGCCGAGTGGGAGATAGACCTGGCGGTGGCCTGCGAGCCCTATTTTGTCCCTCACCAACCGAACTGGGTGGGGGACCTAGAGGGCTCCGTGGCCATAGTGTCTGGGAGCAGCACCGGCCCCCGTCTCTCGGCAATCGAGAGGGGCCAGGGACTCGTCGTGGCAGGGTGGGGAGAGTACGCCATCGTTGCGGTGTACTTCTCCCCCAACCGCAGTCTGGCGGAGTTCGAGATCTTCCTCGACTCCGTCCGCGCTGCGGTCTGCAGGCAGTCGCCGAGGCCCACTATCGTCCTCGGCGACTTCAATGCCAAGTCCCTGGCCTGGGGGAATCCCACGTCGGACGCTCGAGGGCGGGAGGTTCAGACGTGGGCCCTACTCTCCGGTCTGTCCCTACTCAATGTGGGGACGGCGTTCACGTGTGTGCGGCAGCAGGGGGGGTCCGTGGTGGACCTAACGTTCGCCACCCCCGCTGTCGCACGCAACGTGATCAACTGGAGGGTAGAGGAGGAGGTGGAGACTCTATCGGATCATAACTATATCCGGTTTGAGATCTCCACCCGTCCGGTGCCGGTGGACCGCCCAAGGGGGCCCTCTCGAGCGTTCCCGAGATGGGCCCTGGGCCGGCTTGACACAGAGCTGGCCAGGGAGGCGGCCATCGTGGAAGTCTGGAGCTCCCAGGGGAGTGTGGTGGGCGCCAGCTCCGATGTGGAGGAGCTGGCTGGCCGCATCCGCGACGCCCTTACGAGGGTGTGCGATGCGGCCATGCCGCGTGTCAGGCGGTGGGACCGGCGTCGCCGGAGTGTCTATTGGTGGTCGCCCGAGATCGCACAACTTCGGGCGACCTGCAATAGACACAGGAGGGCCTATGTGAGGTGTCGCAGGAGGAACGGCTTGGCCCCGGACTTGGAGAGCGAGCTGCGGGTGGTCTATCGGTCCGCAAAAAAGACCCTGCAGCTCGTGATCAGCCAAGCCAAGGCGGCGGCCCGCCAGGAATTGCTGGCGGGCCTGGATCGGGATCCGTGGGGGCGCCCGTACATCAGCGCGCGGAACAAGCTCCGCGCGCATGGCGCCCCGGTCACGGTGACCACGCCGCCCGACGTCCTCCTGCGACTGGTGGGAGGCCTGTTCCCGGAGTCCTCCGGGCACGTCCCCCCGGTGATGTGTCCTCCCTCACGCCATGAGGGAGTCGACGAATTCCCCCCTATCACCGAGGGGGAGTTGGAACTGGCCCGCGACAAACTGCGGGCCAAAAGGACGGCTCCGGGACCGGATGGTATTCCGGGGCGAGTTCTGTGCATCGCCCTGGAATACCTGGGAGGGGATCTTCGGGACCTCTTCAACGCCTGTCTTCGCATTGGGCAGTTCCCGAAGATCTGGAAGGAGGGGTTGTTGTGCCTGTTGCCCAAGGAGGGTCGTCCTCTGGACTCCCCTTCGGCATACAGGCCGATCGTGATGCTGAGTGAGATGGGCAAGCTCTTCGAGAGAATTCTCGTTGCCCGTCTTACTCAGCATCTCGAGGAGGTGGGGCCGGGCCTTTCAGAGGCTCAGTTCGGGTTCAGGGCGGGTCGGTCGACCGTGGACGCCCTGAACGCCCTGAAGGTTCGGTCCTTGGCCGCGGTGGAGGAGGGAGACGTGCTTTTAGCCGTCTCATTGGACGTGGCCAACGCCTTCAACACCCTGCCGTTAGAGACGCTACGAGAGGCACTTCGGTACCATGAGGTGCCTCTCTATCTCCGGCGGGTGTTGGACGCGTACCTCCGCGACAGGCAGGTCGTGTGGACGGGGGCAGATGGGGTGGTCGGTCGGCGACGTGTCGACTGCGGGGTTCCACAAGGGGCCGTTTTGGGCCCGATACTGTGGAACCTCGGGTATGACTGGCTCCTGCGTTGTCCGCTTCTCCCCGGGCTCGGTGTCATCGCTTATGCTGATGGACACCCTCGTCACAGCCCGGGGGCGCTCTTACGAGGAGGCGGCACGCTTGGCCACAGTCGGCACCAACCTAGTCGTCGACCGTATAGGGATGCTGGGCCTGAGGGTCTCCGTCTCCAAAACGGAGGCCCTCCTTTTTCACGGCCCACGCAGGGGTGCCCCCCGCAACGCCTGTCTGCGGGTCCAGGGTAGGATGGTGGAGGTACGGGCCCAGATGAAATATCTGGGCCTGACCCTGGACGGACGCTGGACGTTTCGTGTCCATTTCGCCCAGCTCACCCCGAAACTGATCGGCGCCGCCTCGGCCCTCGGCAGACTTCTGCCGAATGTCGGGGGCCCTGGATCTCACTGCCGGCGGCTCTACGCCGGCATCGTGAGGTCCATGGCACTGTACGGTGCCCCCGTTTGGATGGACGCCCTCTCCGCACCGAACAGGGCCCAACTGCGCAAGGCGCAACGGGTCCTGGCGGTGAGGGCGATACGGGGATACCGTACGGTGTCCTTCACGGCGGCGACACTTCTGGCGGGCGATCCGCCCTGGGAACTCCAGGCGGAGGTGCTCGCCGAAGTTTATCAGTTTCGGGCGAGTGAGCGGGCTCGAGGGGAACGTCCAGCGCGGGAGGGAGTCGCTCGGATCAGGCGCCTAGCTGACGAGGCACTGATCCGGCGCTGGTGGGAAGACCTGGGGACTCCAGCGGCTGGCCTGGCGACGGTGGGGGCGGTTCGTCCGTTCCTGTCTCGCTGGGTCAGGCGGCCACACGGCGTCCTGACGTTCAGGTTGACGCAGATGCTTACCGGGCACGGGTGCTTTGGTAAGTATCTGTGTCAAGTTGCGCGTCGGGAACCGTTGCCCGTATGCCACGAGTGTGGTGCGTCCGAGGACACCTCGCACCACACCCTCGCGGTATGCGCCGCTTGGGCTCCCCAGCGCCATGCCCTGATGGCGGTAGTGGGTGGAGACCTCTCCTTGCGAAGCGTGGTGGGGGCCATGCTACGCGATGAGAGGTCCTGGTCGGCGATGGTCTCCTTCAGCGAGGCCGTCATCTCACTGAAGGAGACGGCGGAGAGGGAACGCGAGGCTAACGCCTTAGCAGACCCTCTTCGTCGCCGTCGGCTGGGGAGAGGAGGCGCCGGTACGCGCATCTTCTCCCGCCACCCTAGAGGAGCTACTGCGGGGGGGTCTCTCGTTGACTCCCCTGCACGTCATCGGGGCGGTCGGGATGCCCTGCGAACCGAGGGCATCCTGATTTAGGCGAGGCAGGCCCGCGGGGTACGGGCCGTCCGCAGGGGTGTTGCAGTGAATGCGCAAGCGATCCTGCACACCCCATTGCACTGCGGCGACGGGTTCCGCTGTGGGTTTTAGTGAGTAGGAGTCTCACAGTACCCTACCCATTGACGGCCGGTAGGGTCCCCATGATGGGTTTCCCCAGCGATAACAAAAAAAAAAAAAAAAAAAAAAAAAAAAAAAAAAAAAAAAAAAAAAAAAAAAAAAAAAAAAAAAAAGGTTAGGTTAGGTTAGGTTAGGTTAGGTTAGGTTAGGTTCTCAGGGCAGTTGCTGGACTGCTACTGGGCGCGTC